GGTGCTGCTGCCATGATGACCATTATGGGAAAACCATGTTACTTATGATTGCCAAACTTTCAAAAAAGAAATACAGGACTAAAATGCAGCCTGAGTTGGAAAAGCAGTCTAATTGACTTCTTTTTCTGGAAGTTTTACATTTTCAAAGGGTGAACTTGAACTCCCATGGGCCTGAAGCCTTATGTTTGTTACACATTTTACTTACATTGGTATTACCTGTTGAGCATAATTAGAATTTGATGTTGAATTTGCAGTTTAACATAATGTACTTTTGCATCAGAATTGACAGTAGCCTATTTTGTTATTTCCTGCTTTTTGTCTGTACATTTGACAGCTTTGCTGCCTTGTTTAATATAACATGCTTTTTAAATAAAATACTTAAAAGTAATTTGAAGTTACACTGATTTCCGTTTGAGTACCAGTTGGTATTCTTTGATACGGGTGATTGAATTTTCTTCGTAAGTACGTACGTCTACGCCTCGACGCTGAGCAAGCCTTGCGGGTTGAAAACAACTGATCTCAGACTGGTTAAAAAAAATTCAATTCTGTTAATTTCTGTTGTCATATTAAAATTCAAATAGGGCGTACGTAGATCCAGTGATTGGGAAGGAACGCGCCATACGCGCATAGAATCGTAACTGGGCGCATAAAAAGCCCTGTTTGTGCGCCATAAGGGCGCGTAATTTTGTAATACCTCGCGTTTTTAAAAAGAGTCTACTCGTCAATAATTATTCGTCAACTGATTAGCGTAATTTTCCTCTCATACCTGAAGACGTCTCAGGAACGAATTCGGAAGCTATCGAACCCAATCGCCGAAGTTTGCCGAGAGCAATGAGCACATCGTCCCAATAGATATGCTAATGAAATAAAAGCTGATATCTTATTGGCCAATCAGTTTATAGGTCATGTTTATCCAATTAGAAGTAACCTTGCTTTTCGTTCTGAAAGCACATGGGATTTTTTCAAGCAGCACTTTGGTGAAGTGAAAAGAAAAGTGCCGCCGAAAAAGATTTTTAAAATCTCGCCAGTTTATTTACTTCAACTGCTTCAACCGCTTCGTCTAAGGGTCCGTCCAACATGCAGGAAGAAGTCTCAAAGGAGACGGGGGAAGAAAATGTACCAACTTTTGAGAGCAGCGCTCCTTGCACTACGACGAGTAGTAGTGACACTGACAGTAGTGTTACTGCTAGTGCTAGCACCTCTCACTCTCAGGTCGCACGAGGTTTCCAACCCCGATGGTTTCAACTATAGCCCTGGCTCCAGTACGACTGCGAACAGTGTAAGAGTTAAGATTCTTGGGAGTAAGATAAGTTATGAGGATGCACTGAATTTGTGGCACAGGAAAAAGAGATTACTTCATTAAGTAATGAAATCTCTCTTCAGTAAGACTGATTAATAAGTACTAGACAGTATGTGAAGACAATTTCATTTACATATTCTCAGTTTTGAGTAATCAAGGTTTTCAGAGATCTAGATTGTTTACCTCTTGTTGATGGTTTCATCAAATAAAAACCAATTACTGATGAGTATTACATGTTTTCTGATCATTTTGTTTTTTCATTTAGTCTTCAAATAAGTTCAGTAAAGAAGGCATTGTAATGGTTTTATTGAAAAAGACAAATAAAAGTCTTAACTAAATAAATATATTAACAAAGTTTAACTGCAAAACCTTATCATAATATTCCCAAAAATATTGATACAGATATTTCAAATATATTTGTCATGTTTAAAAATGGCCCATAAATGTCAAGCGATGGCCCATTGATATGCAAAATGGCCCATTAAGGGTGACCCAGGAGGGGCCATTGTCCCATGGGTGGTTTGAACCTTCCCAATCACTGGTAGATCACATAACTAGTTTAAGTCCACTAAAGCTACCGGTTTCAAATATAAGTGACCGGCCTTTGTTTACAACACCTATTTCTCCGGGGAAATAGGCCTACTCGTCCCACTTGTGAAGCGCATCATGAAAATGATCGTAGGTGAGGGAAATATATAATTAGAAATTATAATTGTCGTCTTTTTAATGTTAAGTTATGTTAGCACATATTGTACACAGCAAAATAAGATTTCAGAAGGGGGATAAAACATGCCTGAAACACGTGTTAGGCGAAAATTGCGGCTTATCTTGTGTAAAACTTTTGGTAAAATGGACGGATAGATGGACGTTTTGGCAGATGCCCCTAACAATGTGACGATATCAAAGGTTTCCATTTGCTGTGTTTTAATCAATTCGACCAAACTGACATTTCCATGAAATTAATTAATTAATCATGGTCGAATTGTTTGGCATATTACCGTCTATATATATATATATATATATATATATATATATATATATATATAACCATTAACTGACAGCTAATTTTTGCAATGTAGGCTAAATTTAATCAACTAGCCTTAGCATTCAAAACTGACAAAACAACAGTGGAAAAAAGGTTAGAACTTCAGGGGCACATCAGAAGTGTGGCAGAAGACAGTATTCTCAATGAAATAGGGGACATGAAGAATTCCATTGAGGTAAAAATATATAGTCTTCTGTAAAGAATCACTTAATTAAGTGTTTTAAATATTACTCTGAGTTCACAGTAACCATGAAAATAATAATACCTGTTGACCAATAGCATTATGTTTATTGCATTGTATATTATTATTTTTATATTATGCATAAAATTTGCAGATGCTTGGCCTATTGTGTACTGATCAGGAAAGTAGAGATCTGTACAATGCAGTACAGAAGCATGTTGAAGTGGTAGAATATTCCACTCTTCGTATGTCAGGACATGCAGAGCTTCATGGTGCTGTAAAGCAGGTAACTTAGTGAGGATTACAAATTTAATCATTGCTTTGGATATATGATAGATACAAAAACATCTAATTTTTATACCTGTTGCAGACCAAGGGGATTGTTTAAAGTACATTGAAAATATTCTGATATTTATACCAAATACAAGTCTTCACTGTGTTTTTTGAATAAGAATTTACACACATCTGTCTCCCTTTTATATATAGCACATGTGTCAAACATATGCAAACATATGTGAAAATCGCACTTTTTGAAATTAACAAAATGACAAAATTGACAGCCTGCCAGTGTTTACTCTCTGGTTGTTTTGGTTGATCATGAAAATAAATGCATTTTAAATCCTAGGATGGTTCATTTCAGATAATGTATAATAGTATGAGAAAACCCTTCTGTTTTGGCAAAATTGGCTGACAAAACATTTTAAACTTCTACTTCTACAATTTCTCAAAAGCAGAGCATTGGCAATCCACTATAGGAGGCAGTTTGTAGCCTCATAAAAAATGGATCTTTGTTATAAAATTGGCAAGCCATTAATCAAAATGCTTCTTGTTTATCATTGTTATCTTCAGTAATAAAAAATATAATAACATACTATAAAAATATCTCGAGGCTTCTGTTTGGCCAGTTAATTAGCTAAATTGATATTTTGTAGAAACAACATGCTAAAACGCCCCAAAATCATCTGATGACCTTGTTCTCATATTGAGGCATATGGTTTTGTTCCTGTGCTGGTATATAATTGGTAATAACCATAGATGTGAGATGGAGTGGGATCTGAGCTGCTTCTAACTGGTGATTAGCAGTGGTCAGATAACTCCTGTTGGATTGACCCTATTTGAGTAGAAGTCATCATTTATGGTATAAAAAAAAGAGAAATGTTTATTGTTTTCATATTAAGAATGATTGTTTTGAGAAAGTAAATGCCTTTGTAATTACTGTAAATGTCTGATCTTTCCAGGAATGCAGGCTGAGCAAGGCAGTAGACAGCATGGTGCAATATGTAGAAAACCTGAAGAGGCTGCACGAAAAACTATCCACAGAATTGGATGAAACAAAGTACACTTCCTATCTTTCTTGCATATTTTGATTACATTAACATTATTTCAATTATATGAACTATATTATATAGGATAATATGGTTTGTTTGTCTATTAAGCCATTTTGAGTTATGCTACACATGATATATCACACCTATTTAATTACACTAATTTTTTTATTTTTAGGAGAATTTTAAAAGACAACAAGATCATGTGTCCTAGTTTATCATCAGACTTGGGTTTGTATATAGCCCTTTTATCATAACAAGTATATCAAAAATCATTAAATTTGGTTGTAATCAATAAAAAATGTTCAGTAAATTTTGTTATCTGATCCAATGGATTGTCAGAAAGTACAGTTTACTGATTTGAATATTAAAGGAAATCCAATTTGCATCACATTTCAGGGGATTCAGTGTTACTAAGAAGAACGACAACATTGAAGGTAATTTTGATGTCTGTGATTCTGACTTTTTTAAGATCAATTAGATTTCAGAAGTTTAACAAATTAACAACAGTTTGAGTTTTTTTTACAATTAGATGCATTATTAGATGCATGATCTAACCACAAAGGAAATGCCTTGATAAAACGGACATCTTGTTTAAAATACTAATCTTCAATGGAAGTTTGAAACTTCTGCTCTCACTTTCTTGATTGAGTAGGACCATTTATTTGAACATGGTTAAAATTTGTTAACAATAGTATCAGTTGTAATTATATGAACCAATATATTGGTACACAGCTGAGGTAATTTCCAATAGTAAAATTAAATATTCATTAAAAAACTTATGATCTTATCAACTAAAAGAAAAAAAGTATAATCACTTAAAAAAGGAAGTGTGGGCATACGTGTATCTTGTTTTAATTACATTTGATTTAACCAAATGCCTCTTTGTTTCTATACAATGCTAGTTCACCCCGCCCACACACAGGACTAAGTCTTTGCCTTCATCACTTACTGCTGTTAATTACATACCTGTGACTGACAAAAAAGAGGTAGTAACTGCATGTTTGGTTTGTGTAGCTTCATTGACCACTGGGTTCCCTTTTCATGCCTTTGCTGTTTTTCTTTTCTTTATATTTTGCATATATATATACTAGAATATATTATGTAAAAATTTATGTAAAGATACTTCCTTCAAAATAATATAAAACAAAATTTGCAAATTTGAAAATTTGGCTTCAGTCTTTATCAGTAAATTTAAGTATGTGTTGCACATAATGTTGGTCATAAAGTGTTTTAAAGAAATAATAGATGCCTAATCATTTAGTAAACAAGGTGGGAAACATATTATATATTGTGGAAGATGCTGGATATTTTTGCAACTATTAGTTTGTTACTGGTATAATGCATGATGTTTTTGGAGACATATTTTGACTACATAAAGCATATTTAGTGTTTGATAAAAATGAATCTTCATAGAAAACCAAGCTGCAAAGGACATATTACATTTTGTTAACAAGTAAATACTTCACAATAGTGATGTACAGTAGCTTTATATTCATGTTACACAGAAATCTAAAATAGAATAGAACAATATATGAAAACTAAAGCCCTGAAATCCTTGTGTACAACTTTATAGTAGTTCTCATTTGTTCCGTGTATATTTTGTAAAAAAAAAGTCTTAGTTGGATTATTCTGCATTACAGGTTGGTCTTTGTTAATTGCTTTCAGCACTGTTCTATTTAATAAAGGCATGCTTTGACATTAAATCTTTTAAAAAAATGTGAGAGTGACATTTGTAATGGGTGTTGGTATTTGTGTGTTTTGGGGCTATGGGTTAACTTTAATTGTTGTGTTATTTTGAATACTGATTATATTACCTTTGTTTTCAGTTGACAAGTTTGACAATTTCTTTGCTGTTGAACAGATACATGACATTAGTCCTCCATTATATTATGATAATATATATACTAGCTAAATAAAGAAATGCAGGTTTTTTTGACCACAATGCTTCAAAATATCCAAATATGCAGATGTTAGTATAGTCACTGTATTCATTGACAGAACACCATCTCAGCCCTGTCGTAGAGTACTGATAGACTTGAGTGATTCCAGACAATGGCTGGCTTAAAATTTTTTTAGACATCTCATTTAAATACAAAGGCCCCATTCAGAGTGGGTGATCTGAGTATTTACTGATCTGCTGACTAAATATGGCCAACCGCAGATCAATAGCAATGCCGCTGATTCCTGATGGTCTCCCCGACTCCACACGTACCTTTAAACGGATTAAATCTTTGCTCCGAGGTTTAATTGCTAGGCCCCTGCAGCGATGGCGTGTGTGGAGGCAGGGAGACCATCAGGAATCAGCAGCATCACTTTTGATCTGTGGTCAGCCATATTTAGTCAGCGGATCAATAAGTACTCAGATCATCCATTCTGAATGCCCCCAAATTTGGACAAAAGTCTTGCAGAAATCAGTTGTCCAGAATCAATACTAGTGGACCCTGGAATCAGAAAAACCAGTTTAGGAGACTGAATTCCATGCTGACATCTCCTATTGAGCATAGTTGGGATGAACTGGGCAGATGATTTCATAATAACCGCTAGTCACAGCCTACCACCATCATAGAGTAAAGAGCTGGACTGGTGGAAGAATGGAAAAGGATGACTCATATAACCATAGACAAAACAAAACTTGCATTTTCTTTTTTTTTTTTTTTTTTTTATTTATTATTATTTTTTTTTTTGGCTGGTATATTTTCTATTACATGATCATGTATTTTCTAGTTCACAAAAGTTTACAATAGTTAACTGAAGATTCTGTAAAAGGTAAAAGTGTTCAGTCAGAGCACTGTTTCCTATAATCCTTTTGATTGACATGAAAAAATTGGTGCATATTTCTGATATGCCACATTTCCAATTTTTCTTCTTTTTTTTTTTTTTTTTTTTAGGTGAATGGGCCAAATGCCAGAAGGAGAGCCAGTGTGGCAGCTTTGCCGAGAATGCTGGGTGGTACTGGGGGAGTAGGTTTTTCTGCATCATCCCCAGTAAGTAAATGAAAAACTCCTTTGATATTTGGATACTTTTGCTTGTATAATGTGACATAAAAGAGTATAATTGTCATTCATAGAATATTTTATTTATAAGTCTTGTATTGATTCTAAACATTGAATGTTCTGATGTGCTTGCACAATTGCTTATGTGAATGCACCGTGCCTTGTGTTCTGTTTAAACAGATAGATTTACTCTTTTTAAGTATGCCCTTTAAGTTTATACATTGGTTGGCAGTTCAGAATATTTTGCAGCACTTAATGATAATACAACTATCTGACAAAATAATGTTTTAAATATAGATCCATTCCATATGGAAATATTATTTTTTTTTTTTTTTTTTACGGTGACAGCTTAGTAAACAAAGGGTTAAAAATAATATTCAAACATTCATCAAAAAGTCACATTTCCTTTTAACATGATGAATGTGTGATTGCCTTAATGGTGATCACAACCAACAAAATCAGAAACACAGGATTCAGATGATTAGATCGTAACTTGTATATCTAAATCTATCAGTTTTCTTAACTGAACTCGACTTATTATGCATAAACTGTGCAAAACAAGATAAAAAAACATCTTTACTTTTACCTCTAAAATTTTTTTTTAATCTACAAAGATAACAGTATGCAAACTTCTGAAAAACAATGTTTCAGTTTTTAAAAGCAGAAGTTACCTTAAATCTATTTGAATCCTTCAGATATTTGACAAACTCAATGAGCTCTACTTTTGGTTCTTTCAGGCCTGCCACATCTTTAAATGTTATTCCAGGCACTTTCGAGACCGAGACTCCTTCCTTGAATGCCTCTTTGTAATTAGCCTTGGTGAGACTGGACAACGGTGATACCAAGGTCTAAAAAAAAAATGCCACTTGCTCTGTCATCATTTATGGCTGGATGTTTTTCAACACCTCTCTCTCTCTCTCTCTCTCGCGTGCGCACGCACGTACACACACACACACACACACATTGTGAACCACATGACAGATCCATTATATTCTATTAAAATACAATGATATAAAATCTATCAAGCATGAGGCAACTGTGAGAGAATAGCTTCCCAATGTATACTAATACTGATCTACATGCCATATTTAGCCAGGGTTTTGAAACAGGCCTTCCAAAATTATCGTACATGTAAGAAGGAGGGGCGGGGGGGGGGGGGGTCATTACTTTTTAGTACAGAACAGGTGAATCATGTACTTAATACAAATAGAAAGAGTAATTTCAATTTTTTAAACTTTTTTACCCAAATAATTCTGTGGCCTTTGACTACATCTGTTTCCATTCCCACATGCCCCGCCAACTGGCTAAATCCTTAATACATCAACAGAATTTTACATGTATTTAAGAGAGCAAACTTACTGGTCCTCCTGAACGAAAAATATTTTGTAGAAGCAAAATCACAACCAAACCCAGAAGAATGGAAGGTAGGAGCATCTCCCTGAAAAGAAAATTGGAAGAACAAGAATATTTTGCATGGCATGTTTGGACATAGCTATTTCATAGGATAAATAATATCATAATATGATTATTATACGTGTCATTTAGCTTTCAATTTATTCCCAAGTGCACTAACATCTGTGACACCTGTTATGTTCCGTATCTTTATACAAACATATAAACAAGGGAATAACGTGCTTTGGAAGTGCTGCTTAGCTTTATTTAGATTCAATATGGCTGACCGACTCAGCTGCGTTCGCACAAAGTGATGACGTCATATCAAAACACACAACAACACCCTTGTAGAATTGTATGCAAGCATTCCCCCATGTCTTCTATCTGTCCAACACTAAATAATGCTTTTGTGTGGGTTTGTACAAAAGAATCCCCAAAGCATTATGAAAACACGCCTTCAAAAGTTTTTTTTATACAAAGATACTTATTAAAATGTTTTGTGGGAGTGCTCTATCAGACCATGCCTTGGTCCTTTACTCACCCTGCACTAAGATTCTTGTAGACAACAGACACACCATCACCAGGAGCTACTCCTAAGTTTTTCTCAGCCTTGCGCAAACTTAATTCAGGATTATCGACTTTCTCAAGATCAACCCGCAGCCTTATTTCATCTTGCATTGGATGGTTAGAGACATATTGCTGCAAATCAATTAAGAAATGAATAAATAAATATCAAATAATTTTCATTATTCACTGGTCAAAAGTACAAAAAAAATTCTGATAGAATAAGCCTTTATTACATTTACCAATTTTAGTATCATATATGCACCATCGCACCTTTGGTTGCAAATAAATATTACTGTTAATTATTATTATTATTATTATTATTATTATTATTATATCACGATTTACAGACTTCTAGGTGCATTCCTCAACTAAGACTCACACTACATGCACACACACACTTTATTTCACTACAGTACAAAAAAAAAATTAATGAAAATTACCATTAAAAACAAAATCGTGGGTAAAAGTAAGTTTATTCCAAATTTGTGAAGTGCGGTTCATGTCAAAAAGTAGGTCAAAGGTCAATTTCAAGATCACAGTTCAATTGCCAGTATATTACTTCCTATTAAAGTTCAATAGTAACTATGGACATATCTCTGCCAGTTTTGGAGATATACGGTAAAGTGCCATGAATTTCGAACGGCTCTTGAATTTCGAACGATCTTAAAATCGGCCGTCTGGAGTTTTTTCTGGACCATGAATTTCGGCCAGTAAGCAATTTTGCGCGATCTTGATTTCGTGAATTTCGTACACCTTAAAATCGGCCACCAGG